AGTATTTAACCAGGTTTCGCCTCGCGTGCGAGTTGATTAACTTTGATCGGATGATTCCGGAGCTTATCTAAGACGCTAAGTTAAGCACGATGGTTACAGAATAATCGCCGAGGGACGGAGCGTCACGCCCGAGGCCGACGTGAATTTTCTGGCGCCAGTCACGCGTATGGACAAGCTCATCTGCATCGGCCTCAACTACAGCGGACATTGTCAGGAGCAAGGTAAACCGACTCCGGAGAGTCCGATAGTCTTTAACAAATTCCCCAGCAACATCATCGGGCCGCACGACAACATCCAGCTGCCGCAGATCTCGGACGTAAGTCGAAATTATTGGCGGGAGAATGCCGTGTCGATCATCGATGCGGGATGCTCCTGAAGATTGTGTCGATTCTCTTCTATCTGGAATCGTTTATTTTTAGTCCTCGAGATTACGTCACTTTGCTTCGTTCTACTCATTCCGAGGCACGCTATTCTATTGTGACTTATTTTTTACGAGCTGTTTCTTGTAACTTGAATACCGAGTTAATTTGTTATATTTGCGTGTCTAAGTTGTTCAAAATGTTTGCCATTATTTCATTTTATAATTTGTCCTTGATCCCCTAAGAAAAGTAGAACGCGGCATATGGATGTTATGTTCTGAAAGTCACGCGCCACGCTCGATCACGAGCCCAGTTAAAGAGCAATTGTTCTTTGGATTTGCAGAAAATCGATTGGGAGGCCGAACTAGCGATAGTGATCGGGAAGAAATGCAAAGGTCTCAGCAGTGACAACGTTGAGGATTGTATCTTCGGTTACACAGTAGCGCAAGATATAACGGCGCGCGACTGGCAGAAGCGGAATGGTGGTCAATTCCTGCTTGGCAAAGCGATGGATACGTTTTGTCCTCTCGGCCCAGCCGTGATCACTAAGGAGGCGATATGCGACATCAATAACTTGTCTGTGAGAACATGGGTGAACGGTAAATTAAAGCAGGACGGCAACACCAACGAGCTCATCTTTAAACCACATGAAATAGTCGCTTATATTTCTCAGTTTGTATTTTTTTTTTTATATGATGATATATTGTTAATACGTATACAGACACATATATAATATGTTAATTAAAAATTTCAGATTTATGACGTTGCTACCAGGTGATGTGATTCTCACTGGTACACCGGCTGGTGTAGGATTCACGCGTAATCCACCTGAATTTCTGCAGGTATTTTTTTTACATTTAATAAATTAATTAAATTATAGTATTTTTCATATATATGTACGACATACCATTTTGTACCTTGGCTGCATGTTTTAGCGTGGCGACGTACTTGAAACGGAAATCGAGAGTCTGGGACGTTTGAGAAACAAAGTGATCTGATTTAAAAGATAAAGCATACCTTTGGAAAGCGTTAACAGAACTTTGTGATCCTCACAAGACTGGACTTATGTTTCCCTCAGGAATCAACATCCGCGATATAACATTGAACTGTCCCAGAGTCTGTATTTTTGAGAACATATTCGGAATGAAACGTTGAATCGAATATGTTCTCAAGTTACAAGAATAAGTATTTATATTATACCAATAATTTTAGCGCAATTGCAAATGTTTATACTACAGATAGCGTCGCCCCTTTTCACTCAGGGGCACAAATAGGGACATCAAATATACCTTTGATAACGCAGCAACGCTAATTTTTTATGTATCACATATTTTATGTATTTGTATAATTAAAACAAAGTCATTTCTATGTGTCTTTATTTGATTTCATTCTTTTCAGAATAAATAAATCCTTTCATATAACTTATTATAACTTTTATGATCTAAATTTATTGATTTACTTATAATAAATAGTATATGTTTTATATATTTATTATACAAATAACTTCTTTTACAAAATAATCTTATTGGAATATGTGGAATGGAAAACTCAATTAAAATTTATTTCATTAACGTCTTATTTTAAAACAATTATTAATTTAATTCGTCACTTCTTCGCATAATAAATTTTCCAATAAAATACTGAATAAAGAGTTATATGTAAACAGAATATCCAAAAACCAAGTATTATCAAAGTAACATAAAACGGCACTGTTAGTAAGCCCATCATGTCAAGAATTTTGTTTGGTGAACGAAAGTGGCAATAAAGTTTCGAACACAATAGATTTTCTCGATCAAGATAAACTGCTTGCATTAATCCTTCAAATGCATATCTATAATAAAATTTTATACTTCTTAAATGCATCGACAATATAAATAAATTGAAAACATAAAAAAACATATTTTGAAAAGTACACGGAAACAAAAATCGCCGGTAGACAATCGATAATAAATAATTAATAAACAGTTTTCAAGAAAAACATTACCGATTAATAAAAAATAAAAACTAAAAGTCTTGAATTTTTAGTTGTTATAGTATAAAATTGTCTGTACCTGTAATAGCTTAGAGTACCTAAAGGTTGCAAATATTCCGACATTTCTTCTATTTTCACAAAAAATCCGGCAAACAGTGCAAATGGTACATTAACTGATGGTATTAGAAACAAAGCTACCTGAATAAAATTATAGTTCATCTACATTAACTTTTCAAACTAAATAATAAAATTGAAATTTAAATGATACAAAGTTATCACTGACGGAAATTGTCTCATAATTGATTGATTTGTGTTTTTTATAACATTCCTTCAATATCATAAGTGTTAGAATAAAATAAAAAATAATATAAAAATTATCATTAAAATACCACAGGATGAAGAGCTGTGCCACAAAGTGATCCAATCATTTGTGCAAGAATCGTTAATAATATACTAATGCTCCATGCCTTTAGAATTCTATCATATAAATTCTTTTGACATATTTCATATACTGCTAAAAATATATTATATATAAATATATTTATGCTATATTATATTATAATTTATACAATTTTGTTGATAAATTCGATTTTACTGTTTATATATTTATAATTACTATAATTTTTTTAATTATAAAAATCAACAAAATTCTTTGATGAGATTTTTGACACTTTATCGTGTTTAAAATTATAAAAAATATCATATATTGGTTGACCTGTCATATAATACGATACAAACAGGAAAGATGAAGAACAAATTATCTAAAAATTAAACAAAACAACAACAATTCTTAATCAATTTAAAGTATGACGACATAGTTGATTCATTTTATATTCAATGAGAATTTTATTTCTTTCGAAAATAACGAAATTGTAAAGCTATATTGAAACATACTTGCAATGGGAACTCTGTTAATATCTTTACGATGTAGTAGGATCTCAAAGAATACCAATTATTTAAATGTTCTTGTAGAAATACTGCCGCTTCCGTGGGAACTATAATCAGACGTGCTATATGCAATATAACTATATTTAAATTGCGAAATAGCTTTATTATAATTTTAAACACGATAAAGTGTCAAAAATCTTATCAAAGAATTTTGTTGATTTTTATAATTAAAAAAATTATAGTAATTATAAATATATAAACAGTAAAATCGAATTTATCAACAAAATTGTATAAATTATAATATAATATAGCATAAATATATTTATATATAATATATTTTTAGCAGTATATGAAATATGTCAAAAGAATTTATGTAACTTACACACGTGCACTGTCGACATGGCATTTGCAAAAAATATAAATATCATAATAAAGAATAAGTAAGATATATTGCTGAGCACTTTTTCCGCGTCATAGCCGAAATCATAGAAAACTAATCCTAATAAGTCCGATTATGATGTGTACAATAATTCTTAGTTTTGTCATGAGCTGAAGGAAACAAGATGATAGCATTTCTAAATACATCATTCAAATATAAATTACAAAATATAATATTTTCTAAAGTTTATACTTACAATATCTCGTTTGATACAAATTAGAGCTCTTAAAAATAAAATCTTTTGTTCCTGCCACATTGACTTTTTTTGTACTGTATTATTTATAGGTATAACTGTATCGTCTATTTTGTATTTCTGCTTAAAGATAGTCGATAAATTTGATGCTATAAAAAAATCTATTATTTATTGACAGTATGATGATTGAATAATTTGTATCTCATGCATTGTTTGCATTAGTGCTTGTATTTTTATTAATTTTGAATAATTTTTTATCACAAAAGAGGCATTCGATTCCTCTTACATTTCTGATTTTTTTTCTGTGTGTATTTACTGCAATGTAAATTTTATTTAAGTTACCATAAATACTGTAAATGATTGAGATAAAATATTCACACACTCATTATTTACTCATTGCAAAACAAAAGAGAAAATCATTGCTGTCATTAGTGTAAATTGAAATAATTGTTAATGGATGAAAAAAAATAATAGGTGAGATAACTAAAAATAAAACATTCAGCATAAATTATACAGCATATTTACCTTCTTCATGATCTTTACATCCTGATTTAAACTTATCATATTCATCACGACAAATTTTGTATAAATTATTTAAATCACCACCTCTCTGTCCAGTTATCACCTCAAGCACTGTAATCAAATCAGGAGAAAGCAATATTACAAGTAGATTGTTCTGTTTTGCTTTTTCAATTAATAACACATATTTTTACTTGTTTATTCTAAATATTAATAAAATTATTGTGCATGTGTACAATCATAAAAAAAATAAAATAATGATTTCATATAAATAATGCTACATCAAGTTGGATAACAAAATTAAAAGCGAATATTTTTTTCAAATTACTATTGGAAACATAAATAGATTTAGAACATTTAAAATTAATCCATGCTTCCGAATTCTTTCTTTTTTCTCATAATTCGTTAAATTATAATTTATTTATTAAATCGATAGAATTAATGTTACCGAATTCGGTTATGTTGTAAAAATTGGGACACATATATCCGGCGGTGTTGAATGTATTTATGATTTCGCTCTTTGGACCGCAATATATACTTCTACCTTGATCAAGTATTATAATATTATCGAAGAGTGAGATCATCTGACTATTAGGCTGATGTATTACGCAAACTACCGTGCAATTCATTCTCGCTCTGCCATGCAGCATGTTAATGAGCTATTTTACAAACCATAATGTATTAATATGTAACATATTAAGAATATTTTAACGACAGTTATAATAAGCCAATGTTGCTATGGAATGTTTTACGCTTTTATAATTATTGGTAAATATAAAAATCGATCTATGTCAATTAATATCAAATAATAATTCTTTGTAGAACAATTGTCATTGAGACCGCATATATAACCGCAGTAATGATCTTTAATCTTTGATCTTTTGTTTCAATGCCAAATCTTTTTGTACCTGATTAGACGTCATACTATCGAGACCACTTGTCGGTTCGTGTAGTAAGAAAACGTGTGGCTTGGTGATCATCTCTACGCCGATAGAGAGTCTCTTTCGCTCGCCGCCGCTTAATTTGTTTACCATTGTATCCAGACAATTTGACAAGTTGAGACTCTCCGCGATCTCGTTCACCTAAGAACAACAATGCAATGTGTCAATCCCATTACTTTGTTTGCCCCACACACAGCAATTTAATAAATTTATAATTATATATACATTTTATTAATAAATTTATATTATTAATAAATTTATATACACAAGATTAATATAATTAATATGATTAATATGATTAAACGGTACCTAATAAAAGGCTACTTCTAGGCCGCTACTTTACAATTTATCAATGTTGAATAGTTACATATGTCGTAAACATAAATATACTTGAAATATTTCCGTTATATTTGCATTTGACTTACAATTAGATAGATCGCCTGTTTATTCTGATTAGCGTCGAGCTTAAATCTAGCCGCTATATAAAGAATTTCTCTTGTTGTGAGTAATGGCAATAGTTGGAACTGTTGCGGCACGTAGCACACCTGTTTGCGGAATGTCTCTCTGTTCCATTTGCCGTTATTCACAGTTACAGTGCCTTTAATATTAAATAACCGATTGCCTGTTATTATTTCTAATAAAGTAGTTTTTCCCGCACCGGAAGGGCCAATTATCACTGTGAGTTTCCCTGGTTCGAAATGGCCGGTCACATTGCGTAGGATTTTCTTAGTTCCTATGGTAAACGTTCCTTTTTATCAATATCTAGATGGTATTTCATTTAATATTAGCAATGCTCACAATCAGTTTGTTCTCCTTTAACATTCAGCGAATAACAGATAAAATGATTAATGATGAGAATGTTAAATGAAACACAGCCTAGACGATACGCAATATTTAAATTGACGCATTTGCATGTATTAAAATCTATCGATGCACAAAGACTGTCTAGAAAAACACAAAGTGTTATATAAAATGTTACGTAATTAATGCTTTTATAATGTAATAAAAATAATATGTGTAATAAAAATAAAATGCAATATATTATATAT